CAAGCAAACCAAACCTAGCCTGATGAAACCTATAACTGAGGTTAAACTGTGTTTTATTCTCTTCTTGTTTTCTGTGAATGTGTTGGCCCAGCATCCTAAAGTGAAGATGTTTCAGAGTGACATCTGGCCTGTTGAATTATTGTTGAAAGTATGCTGGTGAAAACAACCAATGTGCAGTCTGAATGGTTTATGAGTGGAGCTTGTTAGAATTTGCAGCCACAGTTTTGTCTTTTAAAACCCACCTTTGAGAACTTGGTTTATCTTCCATTTTCCTTAGCATTTGGCATTAGTTCAAACCATGCCTCTCCTGGAGCTAAGGAGAGCATCTTACCCTCCCAAGAAGAGGTTATTGTTCCTCTCTGACTCCTATTATACCTTAAGTTCTTGTTAAACGTGATATTACTGTTTCTCCTGTGTTTTTTGTTCAAGGGCAGTAATGGCTTTATATTTATAGTTTTATCATCAAAAAGTGGACTATATTTAAAGTCCTGTCATTTATTGGGGGATGTGCTTCTTAAATGGACTTTTCAGGTATGAGAGAAATTTTAGAAATTGACGCTTAAGGCATACTGAGCATTTTTGGGTAGTATTTTAAATGGAATAAATGCATTCAGTTAAGTAATATTAAAAGGATTATGAATTATGCATTGCAATTTCTAACTATTTTAGCTGGAACTTCTTACTGCTTTCTTCATATATAATAGAATTTGGCTCAGTTTCATTTTGGATAGCAAATAACTTACTTGACTTTCATAAGATCTAACAATCTTACTTCCTTCAGAGATATAATTGTAGATTATTCTCTTGAGACGTTTTGTTATTAAGACTTAATTTCTTCTCCCTAGATCATCTAGTTCAAAATGAATTACTATTACGAAACTTCAAAAAACGTTTCTTTTCTGTAAAGAGAAAATAACAGTGGCCATGCCCTGTATCTAAAATATAATACCTATATGTTAAAATAAAAAGTGAAAAATTTTGGTATAATTATAACTAGTAGAATATTTGATGAGCATCTTTCTAGAATAATTTTTGCTTTGCAACTTACTGGCCATTTATCCTTGGTCATGTTCTTTTAATCTCTCCATGCTCCACTTTCCCCATCTTAGAAAGAAGCCCTACCTCATAGAAGTTTTCTTTGGATATTAAAGAATATAATCCACTTAAAACATTTAATGCAAAGCCTAAGTAGTAGTAAATGCTCAATAAAAATGATAACTAGCTGAATTAATAACCAATTTATTTGCCAAGTTAAATAATAAGGGCTATATTATGTATTTATCTGTAATTCAGGAGCATTAAAACAACATTTTAGTTTTTATGTTACGTTAGTCTGCTGATCTTGCCCTAGTTTATATAGCTGGGATTTGTACATTAGTGAAATGTCATGTTAGATGTTCTCTGGTTCCTTTAAATGTTAGTTGTGGAGGTGCGTAGGAGCAAAGTTACAGTTGGGAACCATGTAACAAGTTTCTAGTCATGTAGATTCACCTGCTGCAATGGAGCTCTTGAGGACAGAAAACAAGTCTTCACAGCCTAACACTTGATAGGCACATGCTGATTGAGTGGCAAGATGTAGCTTAGGCTTGTATATCTTTTTCTCCTAGACAAGATCTTGTTCTGTTACCCAGGCTGGAGTGCAGTGTTGCTATGCAGCCTCAAACTCCTGGGTCAAGTGATCCTCCTCCCTCAGCCTTCTGACTAGCTAGTACTACAGGTATGCTCACCATGTCTGGCTGGCTAATAGGCTTGCATTTAATAACAAATCTGGTCCTCTGATGAAACCATATAGCATTGAAGGTAGAAGGCACACCTGCTGTTTTCTGTGATTAAACTTTTGAGAAGCCATAGAGAAAGTTGGACTGTTAAGAGAATATTGGGATGAACAATGAATGGGGGACATTTGATTTAAAATAGTTTGAAGGGACATCAGAAGAGTAATTCAGTTTATCTTTTTGTTTCTGGAGGTTAGAACTTTAGGAATAATAAGAATTTTTAATACAAAATATTTACATAATACTTGAGAGCTATTTAATTCTCTCCACTTAGACACATTTTTAGTGTTTCTTTTTTAAAGATGTCAGTAGTATTTCTTTGTGTCTTTCTTCCTTTTTCTTTTTACGTGGTTAAAAGTCTATAGAAGCTGTTTACATGGTTAAAAGTCTCTTATTTATCTATGTCTTCTGTCTGCCCAGATCCCTCCCCACCAACGATAATCAGTGCATTTAATTTTATGTATTGTTCAGAGTTTCTGCAAACAAATGTATATTTTTATTATCTCTTTCCCATTTCCCCCAACTTGGAGAATAAAATAGTATATTGTAATACTGTTTGCAAATTGTATTTTTAGAATTTCAAGATCTTTTCATTTAGAAAACCAGAAACTCTTACTCTGTTTTATGGATGGTTAGAATTCAATTGTATGGATAATTTGTTGGGTGAGTGAAGAAAGGTCCTGTCTCTGAGGGTAACATATGCGGCTGTCTAGAGTCTGATCTTGCTTCCTCTTCCGTCCTCATCATCTCCGCCACCCCTTCAGGGATCTTCAGTCCTCGTTGTCTCTGCCACCCCTCTTCACTAGTCCCTGGTGCTTTTCTGACGTTCTCTTCTTTCTACCTGAAGTGGCTTTCTTAGTGACTCTCCCTTCAGATAGATACTTTAGCACATAGTTCATTTCTGTATTACAGAAACTAAAATAATATAATTTAACATGCCTTTTTCTTCCTTTAAACTACAAACCAATCTTTATTAAGAATCATTATAGATACTTTTTTAAATGAAAACAAACATTGACATCAACATAAATTTTTAGTATGATAACATTTATACAGTAGGTAATCAGTAAATGATTGCTGAATTGATTAAATTGTTATAAACTTTAATATGTTTAACAGGTTTTGTTTGTTAGGATGGTCTTTTGATGCTTTATTCCTGCGACTGTAGTTTTCAAGAACAAAGAAATAAATATCTTATTGAAAGTTGACCATAGGTCTTTTGTTGAATTGTTACATATTTTGGTTAAATTCAGTTTTAACATTTCTATGGAGGTTATTACATATACAGTATGTATTTTTTAAGACATCCCCTTCTCATTTAATTATAATTCTTTTGTGAGTAGATAGCATGAAATCATTCAATAAAATTTTATTTAGCAGCCTGTTATGTTCCTGTGAATTGATTAACTAGTGGGGTAATATAAAGAGTAATAAAATAGAAACCCAGGTTTCGATCCAGTGGGCCAGAGACACATATAAAGAAACCATTTCAATATTTATGTTGAAGGGTCATGATGATAATATATAATGTCTAGCTCTTGAGAAAAATGGAAGCTCCTTAAATCTTTTGGAATATGGTCAGGTATAAAGAAGTATTCAGTCAGTTTTGGAAAAGAACATTAATTCCACTCTTTGACATGTTAGACAAATGGTTACTTGTTTTCTTATTTCTTTGCTTACTAAAGATAACTATAGAGAATAAGGCATGAGGGGGGATAATGTCCCATCTCTTGCCCAAAGAATCCTCAAAGGCTTTCATTTTATCTGAACTCTATAACTTCCAGGTTATGGCTGGGTCTTCAATAAATATAATAATATTTAAATAAATATAATAATTGTTTAGGAATTTGGAGAGAACCAGAGATTACTTTTGATCTTGAACTTAAATGATAATGAAAATATGGGGGTTGGAAAATATGTTTTAGATCATTCAAAATAACAAAGGAATATTCAGTGGATACTGTACATGGTGGTAGGAGATAATAAAGGCTCAAAATTTTAGGGTCTTGGATACTGTAAACTCTGTGCATTGAAGAATCTTTTATGCTGCATACTGTGAGCAATTGAAATTCACAGTGAGATGTCTTTGGAAACATTTAAGTTAGAATATGACATGACCAGATTGGTAATTTGGGAATAGTAGATTATTTCTTTTCATGAGTCTAGAAAGACTGAAAATTTCAGTATTCATTCACAGCACTCTATTAGTAAGCCTCATATAAAAATGAAACGATATATGACAATAATGGTAATAGCTGAATTTAATTTATTTCAACCCATTTAAATGTTAACTCTGTGTATAGTTTATATCATATGATTTATAAACATTATGTAATAAAAAACTGTGATTCCAAAGTTATACTATATGACTTCAAATCCCAGCTTTAGTATTTATAGCTGTGTGAATTTAAAAAAGGCTTTTCAAGTCTCAGTTTCCTTATCTGTAGTCTGGTATGGCTATTAGAAGTGAGAAGGTTAATTCATGTAAAGGACTTACCCTGTGCTTAGCCCATAGTAAACACTCCATAATTCAGCTATTTTTATTAATCTTTGTAATGTTCATTAATAACTTTATTTGCCAGCAAGAAAATAGAATTCAGAGTTTTTAAGTTTGTTTAAAGTTTTGTGGCAAATGGTGGCAAAGCCTGGGCCTCTGACCCCAAGCCCAGTGTCCTGAAAAATGTATTATACCACTTTTCCAAGGCTGAGCAATAAGTAGAAATTGATGAAAAAGTATCTTTTATATTCTCAGATGTTTAATTGACCTGCCTAAGAGTGTCTAGGTCTAAGAGATACTACTCTGATCTTTTATAAGTATGTCTTTTGTCTAAAGACAGCTTAAGGGAATATAATAGACATCTATTGCATTTCATATTATTTTTATTTTTAAAAAACAGCTCTTATCAAGCTATAATTCATATAGGAAAAAATGTTTATACCTTCGTGAGCCACTCAACAACATCTGGTTCAATAACAGATCATATTTATGACAGTGGTCCCATAAAATTGTAATGAAGGTGAAAAATTCCTACCACCTCTGACATCATTGTGGTCCTCACTTTGAGGTGTGATGCATTACTGAAGTGTTTGTGCTGATGCTGGTGTAAACAGACAGACTGTGGCCAACCATATAAAAAAGGATAGCATGTTGAATTGCATATATTGCATATTACTTGATAATGATGATAAATGGCAATGTTACTGGTGTATGCCTTTTTTTTTTAGATTGGACAACTAGCTTTTAAAGGGATGAAGAGACTCAACAGAATCCAGTCAATAGTATTTGAAACTGCGTACAACACCAATGAGAACATGCTGATTTGTGCCCCTACCGGAGCTGGAAAGACCAACATTGCCATGCTTACAGTCTTGCATGAAATTCGCCAACATTTTCAACAAGGAGTTATCAAAAAGAATGAATTTAAGGTAAGAAAATAATAGACCAGATAACAGCTTTTTAAGTTGTAAAAAGCAAAATAATTTTGCAGTTGTCTATAGTATTCGAAATGTGGAACTTCTTAAGAGTGCTGCTTGATTTACTTCATTCCCATTAAAGCAGTACCTATCTGTGTTATGAAAATCCTGTTACCCTTGTAAGAAGCTATGAAAATGCATTCAGCTTTGAAACTGAACCAATTTTCAAAGCGATGAGGCTGTGTAAACAAACAAATTCCATTGTTCTTTAAACAGCTGCACACATATCCAACAAAGATAAGTACTTTTCATTTATCATTATTAAGATTTTTCACTAGATGTAACTGGAATCATATTTCACAATACACTGTGACTTCTATTGGCTGCTGTGAAACAAATGACATTGTAGTTTTTGCTCATTTATCAAGCTAGTGTTCCTTTGGTACAGATTGTATATGTTGCTCCAATGAAAGCCTTGGCAGCTGAAATGACGAATTACTTCAGCAGACGTCTGGAGCCACTGGGCATTGCTGTGAAGGAATTGACAGGTGATATGCAGTTGTCAAAAAGTGAAATTTTACGAACACAGGTATGTTGTTTACCTAGATTTGTTATTTAAGACCATTTTTTGTTTTTTAGGTAATGGTAGAAATTATTAAATAATTCTATCTTAGGTTATTATAAACCTTTATACAAATACAATGTCATGAACTTTCTCTGTTTGTAACCACATCTTTCCTCTGTATTACAAAAGAGGTTTTGCTGGTGCTTTGTATTATAATACCCTTTCTAATGGTCCAGGCGTGATGGCTCACACCTGTAATCCCAGCACTTGGGAGGCAGAAGTGGGTGGATTGCTTGAGTTTACAAGTCGGAGGCCAACCTGAGCCAGAATGAGACCTCCTCTCTAAAAATAGCGGGATGTTGTGGTGGTTGCCTGTGCTTCTAGCTTCTTGGGAGAGTGAGGCAAGAGATTCGCTTGAGCCTAAGAGTTTGAGGTTGCTGTGAGCTATAATGCCACGGCACTCTACCAAGGTTGATAAAATGTCTCAAGGAAAAAAAATCCTTTCTAACCTATGTGATTGTTACTGTAGCTTGAATATTGATAAGTTCCAGATTTATTGCCAGTTAAGCTATTCTTTCAAAAAACTAGAGGATAAGGATATGGATAAGACCAGAGTTAAATTTTAAGAGAGAAATATGTAGACCTTATAAAGATCCCACTAATATTCTAAACCATTCCATAAAAGTGGCTTAACATACAGAGTGGCCATAAAGTTCGTGTGCGAGTTGCACACAAATTTTATGGCCACACCGTATGATGCATTATTAAGCCATTCTTTATTTCATCAAATGGGAATTTATTAAATATAGCATTATGTGGTAAAATGAATGAATGAATGACAGCAGGGTTATTTAAGATATAGTTTCTGCTTTTGAAGATCTTATGACTAAGTAAAAAAATAATATTAAGGCTATAACTAAATTGCTATCAGTGGAAGCAACTGATATAAGGATAGTGATGTTCATAGTATTTTAAAAAAATAATGAATGACTAGATGTTAATGTAGCAGTTCAGAGTTTGATGAAAAATAGATAATAGAGCTTTTAAAACAATGGATGAATGTTGATTTTAAATGTGATTGGAGGATAAATTGGTTCCCATAGCAAAATGCCACAAGATTGATGGCTTAAAACCAAGAGAGTCTTAATTCCCTCACAGATTTGGAGTTCAAAAGTCTGAAATCAAGAGTTGGCAGAGTTGTTTCCTCAGGAGGCTTGGAGAAAAGTATCCATTGTATATCTCCTAGCTTCTCTTAGCTGCTGGCAATCCTGTGCATTCTTTGGTTTGTGGACACTTCACTCCATGGCCTGCTTCCACCTTTATGTGGCGTTTTCCTCAGCATGTACTTTCTCCTACTTTTCTCTTTTAAGGACACTATTTATTGGATTTAGGACCCACCCAAATCAAGATGATCTCATCTCAAAAACCTTACCTTAATTACATCTGCCTGGACCCTTTTTCCAAATAAGGTAATACTTGCGGGCTGAATTTCTATGTCATCGCCCTCCCATTCATATGCTAAAGCTCTAGCCCTCAATGAAAGGTATATAGAGGTACGGCCATTGAGAAGTAATTAGATTTCAATTCTGTCACAAGGGTCGGATCTATTTGATGAGATTGGTGCATTTATAAAGGGAAAAAGAGATCTCTTTTTCTCTCTTACCCTCCTCTTCCTCTATCCCTCCTTCTTTGTCTTTCTCTTCCTGCATGAGCACCACCAAGGAACAACTGTATTGTTAGCAGAATTTCTTCCTCCAGTAGGTCCTCCGTCTCAGAGATTCGAAGAACGAACCCCCAGACCACACAGATCAGTGGCAAGATAGGATTTATTTGGATAGAGAGGAATACAGAAGGAATAAAAAGCACCAGAGCACCCGGCAGAGGGAAAGACCCAAATGGGAAGTCTCACAAGGGTTTTTTCCTCTTGATCAGTGGTTCTCAACCTTCCTAATGCCACGACCCTTTAATACAGTTTCTGTGGGTTGCAACCCACAGGTTGAGAACTGCTGCTGTAGAGCTATATGATGTCTTGAGAATTATACTTGGCTAAGACATGGCAGACTTCAATGTTGAAGAGTGTATTAACAAATGAATTCAGTCCCTCCAACTCTGGGCAAATTGGCAGGGAGTCCTCCTCGGGAGAGGCCTGGCTTATAGGAAATTGCTCATGACTAGGCATCAGGGGTCTCTGTCCACCCCTGAATGGGTGAACCATGTATCCATATGAGTACACAGTGAGATGGCATCTGTCTACAAGCCAGAAATCCAGCATTCAAGAAACATCAAATCTTGGCACCTTGATCTTTCATTTTCTTGCCTCCAGAGAACTGTTGGAAATAAATGTCTTTTGTTTGACTATACAATTGATGATATTTTGTTATAGCAGCCTGAGCTGACTAAGACGATCACATTTATGGTTTCTAAGTGGACATGTCTTTTCCAGAGCCACCATTCAACCCACCACAGTGGGTATGCCAGGTTCACCAAACATTATGATAAAGATGGAAAATCATTGGTTTTAGTTAAATTATTTTGGCATTGATAAGAGTGCATTATAATTCACATTTATGTCATTTTACTGGTTGTTTTTGAATTTGTCCTTCATATAAGCTCTTGAAAAAAATCAGATCTTAAAATTTTTATACAGCCATGTTCATTATTAATATAACAAAGACTGGAGAGAAATTAAACTATGAATAGAATACTAAACAATATGGTATTATGCTTGATAAAATATTCCTTAAAATGCTATTTTCTTGGAATTTGTAATGATCTGAGGAGTGCAAATTGAGGAAAAAAATATAGGAAACAACCTATATGTTGTTTAATTCAACTATCTGTTATATACAAGAACCAAATAAGAAGAAATACTTACAGTGATTATAGCTGGTTGTAGGATTATGTAAGATTTTTGTTTCATTATTCACACTTTTATTTTTTTTTTTTACTTTTTCTGCTACAAGAATGTTATAATCTATAAAATAAGCAATTTTTACATTAGTTTAGGTGTCAGTTTTTTTTATTCAGCATGTCGTAATTTTTTTTCTGCAGCATAATTACTTCATAGTCTACCACTATCTAATTTTTTGGTAGAAGTAAGGGGAAGGAAACTAATATTTATAGGACATGTGTTATTGGTAGGCTCCAGTTGCTTTACAGACAGACACTATGATTTCATTGAGCAATAGTTGAGGAAACTGGGGCCAATTGAAATAACAGTACTTATCTAAGTTACCATTTCTAGAAAATCATGGAGGTAGAATTAGTCCAGGTTTTTTGATTTTAAAAAATCTGTGATGTTTCCATCATAATATATGACTTCTGCCCATCTTTTCTATTCCTGGTTTGTATTTTATTTTATTTTTCAATAGCCAGTATACTGAAGGAACTTGGTATTATTTGAAAGAAAATCAGTAAAATGAAGAGTTGCATGTGTAAGGATATAAAGCACATATCTGAAGATGTTCAGTTTTCAATTCAACTAACTACAAATATATATAGCAAATATATCAGATAATTTATTTTGTAATTATTAAAATTAACAAAATTACCTTAAAGAGATCAAAAGATGGAAAAGTAAGGTATATTACTTTAAGTTTTTATAAGGAAATTCCAAAATTACTACCACGTTAGGATTAAAATGTAGTGATTAATAACGAAGGGAGGTTTTGGTCTCAGCTTTTTTCAGTTGAGTGCTTTTAAAAGCCTGTGAAGTTTCCTATGTTAAAGAGGTAGTGAATGCTTTAATTCACTGAGTATTTATTTTTGTATTGTCAATAGCTTTTGCTTTCAGAATGATAAAATTAAAAACTTTTAAACTTATCTCTGAATTGTAAAATAGTTCTGTCACATCAGTGGTGATAGCATTTGTTACTATTTTTAACTTACAGTACACGAAGGGCTGATATTCCACTGGCAATACCAGTTATTAGAATATTGAAATACTTTTTGAGCTGGTTGGTAGATAGAGTTTGCCAAGAGCCCTTCAAGTACAGCTCCTAGCTGCCCCGAATCCAACAACTAAAGGGTTAATGCCTGGGCCCTTTAGGCCCCTGTTCAGCAGTCAGGCTCTGTGCTTATTGCTCAGTTACTTAAATGTTCCCTTTTGTCTATACCTTGATTGACTTCCCCATTCCCCCTGTCCAGCCTCAGGAGTAGCTTAGAGTGGAAATGACTGAACATTCTGCCCTATCAGTCTGCCATCCCTGCCAGCCACTTTTTTCTGGTAGACTATTATTTGTCCCTGTGATTGTTAAACTTTTTAAACATGATCCCTGATATGTAGTTAATACTACTAAAGTTTAAAGATTTATTAGTGAACATCAGATATGTATTCAATAGAGGTTATTTAAAACAATGATTAATGATGTGGCTCTGGTTATTTTTAATATACATTTTATGAAACAGTGGAATGGAGAATATTAATGCTTTAAAGTCTGTCAGTATCCTACTTATTAAAACTCTGTAATTAACAGATGGATTTATATTTTAAAAAGAGGTTGCAGAAGGGAAATTTCAGTACAGCTCTGACATAGCTTTAGTTTTAAGATACGTAGACCTGTTTATTCTCCTTTTTGTGCTAATGCAAAATCTCAGACTTATTTTGTCAACATAAAATGGGCTGAAAATTATCAACCATAAGACAAACATTTGAATTTAATTGCACAGTTATAAATTCAGGTAATGGAATTTTAGGAGTTGAACCTTTTATTCTTCTCAAATTTTTCAATTTCAAAATTAATTTTAAAATGCACAACTTGGTTTCATTATTGTTAGTTTAGGTCTTTTAAATGCTTAATTCTAAGATACTTTTAATGTAGCAGAATTACAATTGTTTATTATAGAAAATTATTTTTCTTTAGTGAAATAATCTTATCAATGATAACAGAGTAGTAAAACAAGTTAATATTATTTTGTAATTTCATCATAAAGTTTTAGTAATTTATATTATTAAATTATAAAAATTGGACTAGAATGTAAGGTCTTAACTTTGACTAAAGTTCCCCCCCCCCAGAATATTATGG